TCCCTGCAGGTTCTTCAGCTCTGAGCAGCACAGAACAGGAAAGCCCATCCCTGGTGAGACCACAGGAACTGCCTTCCTCTCCCCTCCCTCCCCCCTTTCCCAGAGCAGGATGGGGTTCGGCCCAGGGTGCTAGGGAGTTCCCTTTTGAGTCCTCTGCCCAGTACTCAAGGTACAGGAAGATGGCACCAAATGGTACCCCCCCCATATGGCTACTGGGTCCTTGGGCCCATTCCCGCAATTGAGAGCTGGGGGTCCCTGGGAACTGGGTCTGTTGGGCTGGGAGGGCTGGGCCAGAGGACACTGACCACAGCTGTGCTGTGGTGCAGACCAGCTGCTCATGGACACGCCGTTCCCCCTGAGCACACGATCCGTCATGGAGCCCATGTCCTTGGAGGCCTGGCTGGCTGGCCACCGCAAGGAGCTGCAGGGGGGCGCATCCCTCAACCTGTTTGGGGACACCTATGAGACCCAGGTAATGTAGCCCTGGGCCACCCAGGGCATCTACCCAGCAGCCCGGGGAAATGGGAACCACACAAACACACACACACACACACACACACACACACACACTTCGGAGGTTGTAGACATGGGCATTGGCCTTCCTGTTTCTTCCCTGACTCCAAAAATGATGTTTTGCTGTGAATAGAGGCCTGCAGAGGCTATGTGGTCCCAAGCAATTCTGTCTTTGCCTTCAGAGTGGGGTGTGGCCTCATCCAGTGATAGGTTTCTAGGGTCTGGGGTTACACCCCTGCTCGGAATTCCTGAGCCTTTGGCCAGTCACAGCATTGGGAGTTGGAAGGGAGAAAGGTGTTTGGAGGTGAGGGTCGGGTGGAAAGGCACACAGAGACCCAAACAAAGCCAGGGCAGGGGAGTGGGGCCACAGGCATGATTGCTAGCTGGTCAGAGTAGCAGGCAGTGCTTGGGTCCTGGCGGTCTCCTGGGGTTGGCAACGTTCAGGGACTTATTCTGGGTACAACAGAGCTTCACCCAAGCATTGAAGACGGGGGATGATGAGGCCAGGGTGCTGCTTTAGAAAGACCACTGTACCCTGTGTGGGGCGGGATCAGGAGGGCGAGTGTGGAGGCAAGGAGACCTGCCAGAAGGCTCGTGCTTGCTTGTGCTTTACAATTTCTACTGGCACATCCTTGCAGTTTGAATTAGAGCACTCACCCACCCCCGCCTCCCAGAGAGACGCTCACTGGATACAGACCTGCCTTAGTTTAGCAGGGCTGTGAGAGCAGGCACACCACAAAGCCCCTGCCACCATCACGACAGAGTCATTCCGTGCTGAACTGGCCGCATGGCCTTGCCTTCCACCTTTCTCACCCCTACTCCCGCCTGCTTCAGTTTATACCAACAAATAGCTACTGAGTCCCCCGTGGGCCCACGGGAGCACAGCCCGCACACTAGCTGCGGGCTTCCAGGCTGATGCAGATCACAGAGGCTCAGCCTCCCTCTCGCTCATTCCCTTCCACCTCCCTCCTGCTCCCTAGGCCAGAATTTCCGAGTAAGGGAGGTGGGCGCCCCTTGGGGAACTGTATATGTGGGCTACGTGGGTCTGCACTATGCCATGCACATGTGTGTGCCCCTGCGGGTATTCCTGTGGGCCAGCAATAGTTGTGACGGGCTACAGAGGGACCCGAAGTGCATGTGTGTATGGAGGGCAGACATGTGTGGTCCCGAAGGGCAGGTGGGCAGCTCCCATCATGATGGAGGCAGCAGGGAGGCCTGCAACCTGGGCAGCCTTCTCTCCAAGTCCTGGTCTTTGCATCACACAGGGGGAGATGAGGCTGTACTGCAGGCCCCACCCCTGGCCCATACAGGCCTGGTGTCTGGGGGCCAGGTTTAAGGGGGCAGGAAGCACCAAAAAGATCTGTGTCACTTCCCACCAGGTGATCGTCCATGGACAAGGCAGCAGCAAAGGCTGGAAGCAGAACGTGGACATGTGGCTGTGGCAGCTGGCAAGTGGGGTCCGCAGGAGAGGGTGGCACAACCTCTTGCCCTTGGGGGCCAGGCTGCTCCTGGGCCTTTTGCTCCCCAGGCCTCCTTGCCAAGGCTGACTCAGGACTCTCGGACAGCTGTTGGGGCTGGGTAGCCTCCATTTGATTCTCCTGCTCTTCTCCCCCAGGAGGGCTCCTCTGTGGTGACCATGGGGGGACAGCACCTGAGCCTGACCCCCGATGAAAGCCTCCTGGTGCCAGCCAGGACTGAGTGAGTCTGTTGGGAGGCCTTTCCCCAGCTGTGGGACTCCCTCCTTCCCTGGGATCGGTAGGGCCCAGCCTTGCCTCACCCCTGCCCACCTGTGTCTCCACAGGTACTCCTGGGAGCGAGGGCAAGGCTCTGTGGCCTTGGCTGTGACTCAAGACCCCGCCCGCAAGAAGCCCCTGGGGTGATCGTCCTGCTGAATGTGCACAGCTTCACCCCTGCCGAAACTACTACTTTCCCAGCCCCCACTGCTCCTCGGTCTACTGCTGCTGAGTGCCTCAGCGCCTTCCCCGCCCCCACCCCCACCCCCCCCCCGCCGGGTCCTGGACATCATTGTCGTCCATCCTCCTCCCGTCCTCATCCTCTCCTCTACAGCCCTCAGCCCCCTGCCCCACACAGTTCGGTCCGGTGGTCTGTCCCTGAGTCTGGGCTGCCTCTCCGTCTCTCTGTCCTCACAGCCTCAGTTCACTACTTGTCTGCCGCCCAGAAGGCCCTCAATAAAGGCTTCCTGGTGGATGAGCGCCCATGGGTCTGCAAGGACACAGGCTGTGGTCGATGGCTGACCCCATGTGCTCACGTGACTGTAATCTGCAGTGTCCATGCACCGGGTGACTGTGAAGGTGTGGAGGGTCTATTAGGGGGTGTCCCTGCTTGTAGAGGGGCTTTCATCACTGTGCCTGTGGCCTGGTCCACACGGGCCAGGTGGTTGTCCTGGGGGCACAGAGAATGTTGTCTCTCTGTCTCTTTCTCACGTATTTTTTTAACATAACTTTTAAAATAGCATCTGTTAGGTTTTTCCTCCCAATAACAGGAGTGATTTCTGCTAGTTGTAGAAAATACAGAAATACATAAAATTCCACCCCGAGTTAACCCTTCTTAATACATGAAGACTGTGATGAGCCCATCGAGGGCAGGAAGCTCTAAGAGGAGCTTGGCAGGCCTTCCCCCCCTGCTCCCCTGCTGTTTACAGGTGCCCTCTCCAAAGACAAGGCTCCTGGGCCTGCTCTGGGGTCAGAAGTGCTGGCAGCTCCAGAAGCAGCAGTGGGTAGAAATGAAACAGGAAACCTGTAGGGGGAGATCTTGTCTTCCTGAGGCTTCAATGAGACGTCGATGAGGAGTCTCAGGTGGGGGAAACTGAAGGTGGAGCTGGACGGAGCACGGAGCACATCCCTGGTTAGAGTCAAAGCTTCCTGTGGAAAACCGGGGGTCTGAGCCCTGCCTTCTCCACGCCAGCCCGGTGGCTCACTGCTTTGGTTCACTTCATGGAAGAGCAGAGAAGAGCCTGGCTTCACAGAAGGGGCTTCTGGCCCTGAGGGATAGAAGGACCTTTACCCACCTCTCTATTCCCAAGGGCTTTCCTCTCCTGAAAGCAAAGAAAAAATATCCCCAGCCTCCCCAACACTTGCAAGCAGCCCATGGCAGTGAGGGCAGAGGCCTGGCACACGCCGGGGCTGCAGCCATGTGTGGCTCCGTGCAAAGCCAGGGAAACACAGGAATGTCTCGGGAGGCCCCCTGGGAGGATACAGGTGGCCAGGAGAAGAGGGAGTTCTCCCTAGTGCCTAATCCAAAACAAAAAATAATGAAAATTAAATGTTCTGTTTTTCTGAACACTAGCTCTGTGCCAGGGAATTCCCTAGAAGTTTTTACATACATTGTCTTACTTAATCCTCACAACTCCCTAGGAAGGCGGTAGCACTGCTTTAAAGATGAGGCTCAGAGAAGTTTAGAAAGCAGGCAGCTCTGTTTCCAGCCATGGCCTGTCTGCATTCAGAATTCAGGCTGGTGGTCTCACCACCCTGCATCCTGCAGTGGCACGCAGCCTGACTGCCCTTGGCCTTGGCCAGGCAGAAGTCCAGGTCAGGGGGATCTGTGGGAGAGGAGCCAGTGGCCACGATGCCTAAAACCCAGAGGCTGAGGCAGAGTTGGCGCACATGGCACACTGCTGACCACAGTCCGTTGGCAAGGGTGGGTGCCAGGGCCTGGAACCTGCAACCACAGCCTCCCATGGTGCTGTCCCAGGTTATCAGGAGCCCTAGGCTCTCGTCTCTGCCCTCAGGCCTGGCCACATGGGCTCATGAGAACACCTGACAGTGGGATAGCAGGACCTGTACCTGGTCCAAAGCCAGCCGCAGCCTCACTCCCCTCTCCTCTGGGGATGCTGGGTGGAGGCGGAGTGGAGTAGACAGTGGACAGGGAGATTCCAGGATTCCCAGGATTGTTCTGCTCGGGGGAGGAGCCCCCAGGTCCCCAGGTCACAGCAGGGGAGCCTTCTGCCTGCGGGATGTGCTTCATCGTGTACTTGGACGTGGGACCATCACAGACTTTGGAGTCATCAGGGATCTGGAAGTAACTACAGCAGCTGGCAGGGCATAAGCGGGCTGGTTCCCACAGGCCATGCTCACTTCACTGTCAGGTGTATGGGAGCCCCACCTCCCTCTCCCAGCACAACATCCTGATGGGCCCTAGTTCCTCCACCAGAGCTGTGGGGGCAGGGAGACCGCTGCCCAGCCTGTAATTGTGATGGAGAGTGGGGGTTGTCCAGGTCGGTCTGCATGATCCTGAGAGCTATGGGTTTCCAGGACCAGCTTCTGCCTTCAGCAAGCAGGTGTCTGACCACCCAGAGCCACATACACTCTCCCCACCTCACCCCAGGTGGGACTTCCTCCCACTTCAGGGTCTCCCTGGGCCTCCATCTCACCCCTGCTGAGCCTTGTTTCCTCCTCTGCTAGGGGCAGCACAGATGCCCCCTCCAGGCTGGGTTCAGAGACCCGGGGAGGGGCATCAGCCAGTGTGGGAAGGGGAGGGAGGGAGGGCCGGGGTTCCTCTTTGCTATCAAACAGGAACACTGGGTGTTTCTCAGTAGCTTCGAGGATACCAACGAAAACCCCAGAATACTGAATCATTGTGGTGGCAGCTGATGGAGAGCACTCATCCCTGCACCCTCCTAGAAGCAGAAAGACCGGACACTTCTCTCAGCTCCGCAGCCCAAGCAGCACATGGAATTTCAGAACCTGAGCGCTCCCTCGCCCCGCTGCCTCGTAGCCTCTTCCCCAAAGATGGCCGCGTTCCTGGCACCAGTCCTGGGCGTGGAGTTCATCCTGGGCCTGCTGGTGAACAGCCTGGCCTTCTTCATCTTCTGCGTGCACACGCGGCCCTGGTCCTCCAACGTGGTGTTCTTGGTCAGCCTGGTGGCGGCGGACTTTCTCCTGATCGTCAGCCTGCCCCTGCGCGTGGACTACTACCGCTACCGGGAGACCTGGCGCTTCGGGGCCACGGCCTGCAAGGCCAACCTCTTCATGCTGTCGGCCAGCCGCTCGGCCAGCGTCGTCTTCCTCACGGCCATCGCGCTCAACCGCTACCTGAAGGTGGTGTGGCCGCACCACGCGCTGAGCCGGGCCTCGGGGCGCGCAGCCGCCGGGGTGGCCGCGGGGCTCTGGGGGGGCATCCTGTTGCTCAACGGGCACCTGTTCCTGGTCACCTCTCCCGGACAGTCCTGCATCAGCTACCAGCTGAGCACGAGCTCTTGGCCCGGGCACGACTGGCACCAAGCGCTGTACATTTTGGAATTCTTCCTGACATTTGCGCTCATCCTCTTCGCCATCGTGAGCATCGGGCTGACCATCCGGCGCCGGGGCCTGGGCGGGCAGGCGGGCCCGCGGCGGGCCCTGCGCATGCTGGCCGCGGTGGTGGCCGTCTACACCATCTGCTTCCTGCCCAGCGTCCTCTTTGGCCTGGCGTCCATTGTGGCCTTCCGCCTGCACGCCTGCCGCGCCCTGGACCTCTGCTCGCGGCTCTTCCATGGGTCCCTGGCCTTCACCTACCTCAACAGCGTCCTGGACCCCGTGCTCTACTGCTTCTCCAGCCCCAGCTTCTTCCGCCAGTGCCGGGCCCTGCTGGGCCTCGGCCAGGGCTCACAGGACCCAGCCAGCGATGAGAGCTCCAGCCAGCCCCCCGCCCGCCTCCAGGAGCCCTCCAGAAGGCCTCCAGAAGGTAAAGGCCCCGGGGAAGGAGCAGGCGCAGGGCTCCCTGGAGGTCTCGTTGGAGTGAGGGACTAGGGTCTGCGGCAGTGGGGAGCCTGGCTTGGAGGGACAAGGTCACTCCTGGACTGTTGCCAGCAGAGACTGTCACAGCCAACTGGACAAGGGACATCTGCAGGAGCCAGGTGGGTGGCAGGGAGAGAAACAGGCTTGGCCTCACTGAGACGTGTGTCCCTGGTACCATCCCGAGGGCAGGAGGAGTCTGATGGCAGGTGGGGACGGCAGGGGCTGCAGGAGCTGCCCAATCCCGCCGGGTCGGATCTGATGGCTGAGAGCAGCTGCGTTTTCTCGCTTGTCCCTTTCAATAAGAATAAACTTCCTTTTGAAAATGCAAGCCTATCTTGGCTGTTCTAAAGAAACCTGAATAAATGTCTTTGGGTCCATCCAGTCCTGGCATCAGTAAGATTCAAAGGGAATGCCCCCAAGGTGAAGGGAAACTCTGGGGACAGTGTGGGGAAGCCATCCAGGGTGCCATGCTTCTACACAACTCAGAAGTGTCCTCAGGATCATGGGAGGGCACCCCTGCTGAACCCCTGGGAGGCCCTACAGTCCTGCTGGGCCCCCGGGATGTCCACAGCCATGCTGGGCCCCTGAGAGGTCTCTGGTCCTCTCGGGCCTTCAGCTTCCCTTCTACAATCCCTGAGGTCTTGCCCAAAGCAGCAAGGACCAGGCCCTGCCCTGTCTCCCCTGAGACCATGTGGAGGTCACCACCTCCACCCAGTTCAGGCTCCTGGCTCACTTCCAGCCTCCCCCCTCCCGCCCCCCAGGCTTTCTTCAGCCCCAAGTACACAACCATGGCCCTGACCCTGGCCCTATGGGACAGGACTGGGGTGAGGGCCGGGGCCTCAGGGTCACCAGTGCTGGCTCACAGCTCTCCCCGAAGATCATCTTGCCCACCTCTACCCCTTTCTGTCCTATTCAATATGCCAGTGGTGTCTGAGACCATCTGGGCTACTTCACCTGGTGGCCTGGGTTTCTCAGGTACAGGTGTGTAACCTGGCATGAATCAGGGTTTTGCTCTTTTTTGGAGGAGGGGATAATGGTTGTCCCTAGTGTCCAAAGGGGAAGTCACAGGGTGGGGACATAGCCTTCAAGGCTCCCAAAGGACTACTTAGAGGTTATTAAAGCCCCAAAGATGTATCTCCCGGCCCCTTCCATCTTCCCATGTGTCCCCAGCCCTGACCACCTCAGAACAACAAACACCTCCCGCAACACACACGTGCCTTCCTGCTGGGGAGATGGAAGGGGCCGGGACTGGTTCTCCACTTATCACCCCGGACACGGGCCTCTAGGCCTCGAGTACGGGGACCAAATCCTCTCTCCCTGTTTCCTTAGGAGTTTAATCCACTCAGTCCAACCCTCTCATATCATGGACAGGGATGCTTTTCCACCTCAGGAATGGAGGCCAAAGCACCAGGCTGTCCCCCACGCCCCAGGAGGGAGGCATCCAGGAACAGTGTGGATGTTGGGGTGGGAGATGGAGAGAACGTGTCCAGAGGAGGGCGGTGGCCGAGGGACAACAGGTGGAATTGATATTGGAACCCATTTCCTCAATGTATAGCTAATCCTCTTACCCTTTCTGAAAAGTTACCAGGAGCTCTTAGAACCTCGCAGATACAAGAACCCAGCCCAAGCGATAGAAAGGGGTGTGCCACCTGGGCCCTCCAAGCTGTCTCCTCGTGTTTCTCTGTCCCCCAGGGCCTCCTGCTCCACTCCTCCACTCTTGTTGCTGCCTTTTTCTCCCTGGTAGTGCCTCTCCCAGGGATGCCTCTCTTCTCCATCTTCTGCCACCACGGGGCCAAACGGGCCAAGCCTGGACCAGCTCAGTTTCGGCCTGAGGTTTGGAATTTCCAAGTCAGACACTTTTATGAACGGCTCAAATGCTCCTGGAGGCTGGGGACTGAGCACTTTCTTGTGAGCCCCACCCCGGGGCATACTGCCAGAGCATGAGTGAGGGAGGCAGTTATGGAGGGTGGGGGTGGAGTGAGAAAAGATGGGGGAGGAAGCAGGCTGTTGAAGTGCAGGATTTTCTACAAATGGGAGGGCAATGCCCGAGGTAGTATAAAGTGAGCTGAAGGCAGGGTGAATACAGACCCCATGTCTACATTCGGGTTCCAAAGAGCACAAGGTCCCTGGGTGGGCTGTCTACTCGGAGTGGATTTTGAACAGTGCCTTCTCTCCTCTTGCTCTGAATGTAACCTGCTGTCACTCTGAGGGACAAGCAAATGGCATCCATGACTCTGCTCCTGGGACTCCTGTGCAGGGGGATAGCAGGCGGGTGGGTTGATGGGTCTGTGGTTGATGGGTCATCCAGCATTTACCGGGCACCCACCAGTAGCCAGACACTAAGCTACAAAGGCAGATAGTAAACTCTGACCTTGAGCCCTCCAGGCCAAACCTGGGAGAGACAGACCTGCAAATAGATCAAATTCAACCCAAGCCAGGATAATCCAGGGCATCTGAGGGAGCAATACACCTGAGAGCACAGATAGCTAACTCTGCCCAGGTGTCAATGAGGTAATGCGTGGGGGGCTGAATCCTGGAGGATGAGGACAACAGTGAGGGGAACAGCATCCCTGACGTGGGGAAGAGCATGAACAAGGGCACAGAGCTGTGAGAAGACTCAGTGTGCAGAGAGGGGTGAAGAGATCACTGAGGCAGGAAAGGAGGAGGCCTAGGCACAGAGTTAGGAGACGGGACAGGCAGGCTGGGCCCTGCAAGCCCAGGAGCCTGTGTTGGCCCCAAGACGATCAATATGGCAGGAAGGAGAATATGTGTGAGGTTTTTAGAAAGCAAAGAGGACCAGTTTGGCATCTTGATCAGTCAACTCTGGTAACACTGTGCACAGACTGGTGAGAGGGTGTGGGAGTCAACCTAAGTAGGAAACAGTCTGTATTCCAAGCAAGGACCTGAATAAAGGCAGTGAGGGAGACTGTGAAGGGGCAACCATGAGGCACAGTCTAGGTAAGGAAGACAAGTTGGAGGGGCTTGGAGGACCTCCAGGTAAACATGTTCCGTAACCACTCAGGCTGGAAGTAGGATTTCAGAATCTTCCTCTTACTAATTCGGAATTGAGCTTAAGGGGATGGATGGGGTCACCTGGGAAAAGAGCAAAGAAGACTATAAGAATCATCCTTTTTAAAAAATCCCCACAAGTAAGACACATAGAGGAAGACCCATAAAATGCCCAGAAGAAACCTCTAATTGGAAGAAAACCAGGGATTTTGCAGTAAGAACATAAACAGGGCAAGGCAATCTCTCTGCTCAAGTATAGAGATTACCCATTAAAAAGAACAGAATGGAGACACTCTTTATGAGGGTAAAAGCCAAACATAAAATACCCAGACAGGCTGCAAAGTGCTTCGTGAAAGAATAAAGCATTTTCCAAAACTCCTAATTGCATGCTGAAGAAAGCTGATCTGAGAACAAAAGGATGTGCCCCGGCTGGCGTGGCTCAGTGGTTGAGCATCGACCTATAAACCAGAAGGTCATGGTTCAAATCCAGTCAGGGCACATGCCCAGGTTTCGGGCTTGATCCCCAGTAGGGGGTATGCAGGAGGCAGCTGATCAATGACGCTTTCTTATCATTGATGTTTCTGTCTCTCATTCCCTCTCCCTTCCTCTCTGAAATCAATAAAGATATATATTTTTTTAAATATATTTTTTATTGATTTTTTACAGAGAGGAAGGGAGAGAGATAGTTAGAAACATCGATGAGAGAGAAACATCGATCAGCTGCCTCCTGCACATCTCCTACTGGGGATATGCCCGCAACCCAGGTACATGCCCTTGACCAGAATCGAACCTGGGACCCTTCAGTCCGCAGGCCGACGCTCTATCCACTGAGCCAAACCGGTTTCGGCAAAGATATATTTTTAAAAAATGAAAACAAAAGCGTGTGTCTGACAGTCTGCTCAAGCATCTTGGATTGAAAACCTGGGTTAACAACCCGTTGTCTGGTACTATTAACACAAGCTTTTTAAGAAGTGATAGACTGGCCCTAACTGGTTTGGCTCAGTGGCTAGAGCATCAGCTCTCAGACTGAAGGTTCGATTCCAGTCAAGGGCACATACGTTGGTTGCAGGTTCCCTGGCCCTAGTCACGGTGGGTGCAGGAGGCAACCAATTGATGTGTCTTTCTCACACTGATATTTCTGTCAGACTCTCCCTCTCCCTTCCATTCTCTAAAAACCAATGGGAAAATATCCTCAGGTGAGGATTAACAAAGTGATAGACTGTCTTTTGTGTAAAATTTAATAATATGTAAAACATGTCCTGTATTGATTATAGCTTCATAGATATGTATTGTGTAAAATCATGCACTGGGATGATAAACAGCAAATTAGAGAGGGTGCTTGCGTGTGAGACAGGGGAACATGGGAAGGGGGCTCACAGGTGACTACCACTGTACCTGAAATTATCTTTGTAAAAAAATCTGGAAAAAGTAACTATGAGCAGTATCTGAATGTTACTTAGCTTTTCTCTGGGTAGAGAATGAAGGGGTCGGTGTCATGAACAAAGAAAAGTAATATGATGACAACAGCTTCAAATGCTCAAGAAAGTTCAAGTGCGATGACTGAAAACAGTGTTGGGTTTGGCAATTAGGTCACTAATGCCTTTATCGACAGCAATTTCAGTGAGTGGCTGGGAGTAGGGGCAGAATGGAAGCCATAAAGTACGATAATGGGTTGAGATATTAATGAGATTTGAAGCAATGGAGACAACTCTCCCCTTTTCCAAATGTGCCTGCCAGCAAACGGAGATATGCCAATAGCTTCAGGCAAAGCTAAGTAGAGGACAGAAGTTGTGGTGGTTTGATTGTTCTGTTGTTGTGTTGACTAGATGGAGAAATTTAAATCCAGTGATGGAAGAAGGGAGAGAAGGTGAAAATGAGGGGAGAGGGAAGAAAATGATGATAGAACAAAAACACTCTGTCCCAGGCCCTGTACTAAGCACTGTACGATTTATTTAGTCCTATGAGGTAGATACCATTATCCTAACTTACAGATGGAAAGACTGAGGTACAGAGAGGTTGAATAACTTGCCCAAGGTCATATAGCTAATGAGTGACAGTCTGGTCTGAGTCAGGACATTCTACTGCAAGGGGGGTCAGGAAGGGATGGATTCAGCATGTGGGTGCCAGAAGGGTCCTCTAGAGGCCCAGGGGTGCCTCCTTGGGTTGTTGGAAAGGCACTATTACATACAGAGGGCCTTGGGGCGGAGGGGAAGACAGGTGAAGGGATTTGCTCTCGGCGTGTGAGGGTTTAGGGAGTGACAAAGGACTGGAATAGCTGGTTCTGAAAATAAGAACACAAGCTCCTGACCCGCTAGCCTGCGTGGCTCAGTGGTTGAGTGTGGATGTATGAACCAGGTCACAGTTTGATTCCTGGTCAGGGCACATGCCCAGGTTGCAGGCTCGATCCCCAGTGTGGGGTGTACAAGAGACAGCCGATCAGTGATTCTCTCTCATCATTGATGTTTCTCTCTCTCCCCCTCTTCCTTCCTCTCTGAAATCAATAAAAACATTTTTTTAAAAGATAACAAGCTCCTAGCATACATATAAAAGGGCCACTAAGCAAGCAGCGCAAAGGTACCTGGGGAGTCAGCAGCCACAGCCATGGGGCAGCAACAGCCCCTTCAGGTCGCACGGTTTCCCCCAGTGACCCCTGCAGTTCAGGAGCAAGAGTGGCACAAGTAGGAGGTAAAACTTAGACAGAAGAAACCTCCTGAGGAAGTCTGACCATAACAAACCCAGTCTCGGCAATGGAACTTAAGGTTGGTACCCCTTGGCAGGGAGGGCATGGGACACTCTGAGCTCTACAGATCAGCTTCCAGAAAGAAGGAAGTATTCGAGCCAGGATAAAAAGTCTAAATCAAATGACACCAAGAACCACGGGCACCTTAGGGATTCCATGGGGGGGGCGGGGGGGCTGCTGTGTTCGACCTTGAGGGCTTCCTCTGCTTCACAGAGCCTTTCCTGACCACCGGTCCAGCCTCACTGAGCCCTCAGTCCCGGAACTCCTCCAAATACTGGCACAGCCCAAGGTACAGCTTCTCTGTTCTCCAGTAACCTCACGTGCTTATGTCTTGCTTCTCCGGAAACTCCGGAAAGAAACTTGGACTGACAATCTCTCTCCCCCTCTCTTGCATTTCTGTATCTCTCTATCTCTATCTCGAAATCTCTCAGTCTCTCACAAATGCCAGCAAACGAGTCACAAACAGGTGTTCCTCCCAGACATGGGCTGGAGCAGTCCCGAGTGAGCCTGCAATGGCCCCGCACAGCAACTGAGGCAGAGTCTACCCAGCCGGCAGACAGGCTGGAACCAATGAGATACGCACTAGAGAATAACGTTTCCAGGCAGGCGCCAGCACTCGGCCTGGGAAAGAAAGGGAGAATGCAGGGCATTTGGGTCAGGCTCCCTTTGCTTTTTAAGTCACCTCAGACATTTTTATTTCTGCCTTTCAGGAGGACGGTATGAGAAGAGGGTGCTGGGCTTCTGTCTGTGGAACATGTAGTTCCTGTGTCCACTTGTTTTGCACAGGAGCTTTCCCCATGCACAGGGCACAGCACACGCCCTCAGCTCACACCCCCCAGCTGGCACTGGGCAGAGCAATGCAAAGTGGTTGATGGGCAAACGTCTGTCTGTTGTCCTCATACCTCCAGGTTTGGGGGACACAGGGTCAAAGGCCACCTATCAGAGTGAACTGGCCTCACAAAACCTCCATTTGGCTTATGAGACAGAAGAAGATGCAAACCCTGAGAGTCTTGGCATGTGGGGACATCAGGTCACTGGCCTGGCCTATGACTCCCCAAGGCCCTCAGAGCTACGCAGGGGATGCAGCACCCGAGACCAGGAGCGCCTGATGCCAGGGCTGTGTGCACCCAGCCGGACAGCTGAGCCACTGCCCCAGCGAAGGACAGCATAAACCAGGCATCATTTCCCGAAATTGATTGGAAACACGATGATTGATTAGTAGATGGCAGCTACCTACAGATAGTGCACACTAATGTCGCTCTCCGAATGAATGGTCCTGGGGAAACACTCCTGACCACTGATGCATGTTCGGGGTCACTGTTCTCTGGCAGGGAAACCAGAGATCGGGGGAAAGACATGGGCAGGGGGGACAGATACCTGGGTCACAGCTTTCCCGAGGGCTATGGTGAGGTGGGGCTGCTACCTGGGTAAGTTCCCCCAAAGGAAAACAGGGACAACTGCTAAGAATAAAGGCTTTCTTCCTCCCTCCCAAACGCATGATCCTCTCTGGGTAGAGTGAAAGAAAATCTATAAAAACCCAGGGGCAGTTCCTCTGTCTCCCCTCACCGGGACCTCAGGACAGCATGGGGCATGAACACCAGGCTCAGACATGATACAGAGCACATGTCCTGGCCTGGTTACCCTCAGACCTGCTCCTCGCCCTTCCCAGCTCCGCTGAGTGGTGGGGAGCTGACCGCTGAGCTTGCCTGTCCCAGGCCCCCAGGTCGGCTCGCTTCCAGCTGGGTGTAGCTAACAAGAGGCGCCTGCAGGAATCGGGAAGCTACATGCTAGGGCAGTGATGGCGAACCTTTTGAGCTCGGCTGTGTCAGCATTTTGAAAAACCCTAACTTAACTCTGGTGCTGTGTCACATATAGAAATTTTTGATATTTGCAACCATAGTAAAACAAAGACTTATATTTTTGATATTTATTTTATATATTTAAATGCCATTTAACAAAGAAAAATCAACCAAACAAATGAGTTTGCGTGTCACCTCTGACACGCGTGTCATAGGTTCGCCATCACTGCGCTAGGGAGAATCAGGCCATTTCTCCCGTCTCTGCCTGGGGGATTGTTTCTGGCAAGGACCGTGCCTCCTGTGACTGCAGCCCCTGCAGGACAGGCCCCCTATGGTCCCAGGTTCCGCCCAGTGTTCCTGCGCCCTGGCTCTAGTAACACGGCCTCTCCCCCGTGTCCCATCAGCCTTCCAACTCACCTCTGGATTGCTCCCCCCTCCCATTTGGCCTCGCAGCGTTCCTTGTTTCTGTGCTACAATTACCTGGATTAAAACCCCTCTGTTTTAATACTCAGAGAGGCTTCTGTTTTCCTGGTTGGACACTGACACAGAAACTGGGCTGTGGGCAAGGTGGACTTGTGAGAGGCGAGCTAAAGAGCCAGTCTGGTGTCCTCCTCTTTTGCACCCCATCTAGGATAGGAAATTGGGGGTTCGGAGGGGTATGCTAGAGAAGGAGAGGGGAGATGACTTGCAGAGCTTCTGGGATCTCATCCAAGGGAGCACAGACCAGGCTCAGCATAGCACCCACTGCGCATGTCGGCTGTGGGCCATGCAGACAGACTTACGTCCACCCACAAGCTCATTGCACAACACTGCACACCACTGACACATACAATGGTGACGCGGTGGCCCCAGGAAGGGGGTGGCAGGGAAACCCTGTCAGCACCAAGTGCTCAGACCGGCAAAGGCCAACGTCGGAGGCTCCTTGGCGTCCTTCCGCTTCCCTGGAGTGTTCACTCGAATGCTCCGGGCCTTTCCAGAGGTGAAGTGAGAGCATGAGATCTTACTCAACATCCTCGTCGTAGGAGGATGGGGCTGCAGAGCCAGCTCTGACTACAAGGCGGAGGAAGAGCTTTCTTGGTACACGTGGCTCACACGGAGCTGCACCTGTGCCAGAGCCACATGTGCCCCGGAACGGGGTGGGCCTCCCCGTTCCTCCCTCAGACCTGGCCTGGCCCCGTCTCCACCTCTCCTGGCCCTGGTAACCAGGCAGAGAGAATGAAGCTGGAGCAGCGTCACGGGCAGCTCACTGCTTCTCTCACAGACAGGGCATGGAGAGACAGCTTTCCCGTGTCTCTCAAGAATACACCACGTGTGTGCTGTGGAGCCTGTCCCTGCCGCCCCCCCACCCCTCCCCAGGTCTTTCTGAAGGGGCTTCTCTTGGGAAACCCTAAGGACAAGACCTGCCACCTCCTCCCGCTCACTGAGCTCCTCTGACATGGGCCCACCCGCGGAGCCCGAGGCCAAGACCCAGAATAGTCCAAGAGTTGGCAGTGGTGAGAATGTCCCCGGGTCACCCCTGCAAGAGCCTAAGATGAGAGCCAACTCCTCCTAGGAGAGAAGCCACCATGACTGCAAAACCAGAAAAGGAAAAGGCAGCTCAACTCCAAGCCTCGCCGTCAGCAGCATGCATCATCACATCCTCTCTGCAGGCGGCACCCAGCTCTGAGGATCTGGACATCGAGAATGTCATGGTCATTTTAGTGATACTTCACTCTGCCGGGGGACTGAGGGGGTGGGATCAACTCAATGGCAGCCACTCTGTCCTGCAACCGCCTGGCTGTTTGGGGCACCTACCATCAGCCGCCCAGCTGCCTCCCAGCTGCAGACCCCATGGACAGCTGGGAGGCCAGACTCCAGTTTTCTCCTGGTGCTGTGACCAGGTGCTCTGCAGGCTGTCCCTGCAAACAGAGGGCAGGGGAGTAGCCAGACTTCACATCTGCTCAGGGAGCCAGGGGGGGCACCAAGTTCCTGGCCCTGCAGCTGTATGCACAGAGCGCGGAGCACAGTCTGTGGTGCCACCGAGGGCTGGTGCTGACAGCAGACAGGAGCCCAAGCCAGTGGAAACCAGGCTGCAGGCAGGTCTCCTGGGGCCAGACACAGGTGCTCACAGAAGTGTTTGGGCCAGAAGGGTGGGGACTCATGGTGTCCTATTCACAGACCCACCTGCGAACCCAGCTCTCTCACTTCACCTTCCGTGATCAAATAATTCCATCTGCTTAAAATAGAGCTGGGTGATCTGTAACTTGTTGAAAGAGCAACCTGGCTGCAATGCCCCGTCGGCTGGTCTGGCTGTATGCGAATGGGATAGCACGCAAGTGGCTTGTCACAGTGATATACATGCTTGGCTCAGTGTAAACACTTGCTCCAGCGGGAGCTGTCAGGGACCAAGCAGAACCAAGTAGAACACCAACTTTTCTTCAGTGACAAAATACAGACAATATGAAGAGTCACGGGCTTCCCAAAGACACTTTTCTTATCATTTGTCAGGACCTCGGGTAAGTCTGTACCTTGGAGGGGTAGGGAAGGGATCAAATATAGGATGCAGGAGGTAAAGAGGAAAATTTCCCCATTAAAAAAAAAATTACTATGAAGCCGATTGAGAAAAAGCCAGTGACAGTAACAGCGGGGACAAGGGAAATGTTGTGAATTGCATAAACACTGGCACATCTGTTAAGAAAAATCCATTCAGAAAGATGCCATGTCCCTCCTGTACACGGTCATACAGCTTACAACAGAGCTGAGCTGGCGCATGCAGGGCAGCAGTGGCTCGGAGCTCTCAGCCGCCCTCCTGCCCCAAGAGCTGCTGTGCAGGGATGCAGGGTGCGGAGAAGGGAGGAAGCGGAGTGGCTCCCTCTTGCCCTTAATTCTCAGGCAGGTCTCTCGGGGACAGCGAGGTCTCTGAGGAAAGCGAGGTGACACTGATTCACACAGGGAGACTCAGCTTTTGGGGCGTGCACTCCTACAGTTTCTTCCCCCTCCCCCCTCATCGAGTCTCCATGGGGTGTGCATGGAGGTCTCCCACTGAAATGTACTGGGGATGGGGCTGCCTCCTTCCCAGGCACGGCCATGAACAGCAGCAGGGCAGTGGAGCAAGTCTTGGATTATAGGATGAAACAGGGGTAGCTCAGTCTGACACGCAGCATGTGAGTTCTGGAAAAGGAAAGAAAAAGGGTCAGAGTTAAATGAGTTCCGACGGCAGACGCAAAGTGAGGAAGGATGGAATCAGCCCTCCCACCAACATGGCAACCTTCGAGGGAAGGAGGCTGGGCATGAAGTCAAATGAAAGCTCACAATGCAGTTTAAGGCTGGACCAAAGGAAACTTTAATTGAGGCCAAGAAAATATGTGAATAACACTGAAGTGTTAAAAGCTGGGTTTTGGATGGGCAGATTTAGTCATCACTGCAGGTGCAATCCCTCCCCTGGCCAGTGCTTATCTGCTGATCAGACTGCCATCATGGAACTTCTGTGACCAGAGGCTAAGGGACGGGGAACACACTAAGGGCGGGAGGAGGCACCACCGGATCTGAGGTAAGCATAATTAATCATAAAGATGTGGGCACTCAGATGCTAGAAACACAGTTTTTTTGTAGGAGGGGAATAAACCTCAAACATCCACAGGGCCCCTCATTCTCACCCTCTCCACTTCCCCCAAAGACCTTCAACTCTCCTGTCCCAGAGCTGGGCACCTACAGACTCTCAGGAGAAATGAGTAAATGAAAAGCAGAAGTGGCTGAAAACCACATCATCACCATCTGGCATTATCAGTGGGTTGTGAAACCTTTGGCTTGGTTATTAGGAAAGTGGCGGGGAGGGAAGTGGGGCTTGTTTGCTGAGATGGGGATCAGGGGGTCCGACCAAGGTGGCACTCGGCTGTCCTTGCCTATCATGCATGCCACCTGCAGCCAGCAGAGGACACGGGGACGCTCACCTTCACAGCCTCCCGCCCTCCTGAGGAAGGTCTGCAGGCCGGAGCAGAGCTGCGCCTTCACTTCAGGAGCCTTTCTAGAACAGGGGAGATATATGTGCACAGCCTGGTATTTGGTAGGGCTCAGCAAATACGTGTTCAATAAAAACCCAGGTAATTCAGTTAGGACTCGGGCTAACCTTTGCTTTATGGAGCCTACTGAAAATGTAACGGACTTATTTAACTTTCATCAGAACCTTGTCTAGGTGAGAAAGGTTAGGAAACCTCTCAAGGTCACACATCAAGTAAGTTGAGGAATCAAGATTTGAACCCAGATCTTAATTCAGATCAAGTTTTTCCTACTACACCAAGCTGCCTATTCTATATCCAGCCCAGTAAGAGCATACTATCCTCTTCAGTGTCTGAATTAATGGCTATATGTGTCATTACATTTCAGAAGCCTCTCTCTCTCTCTCTCTCTCTCTCTCTCTCTTTTCTTTTTCTTTTTTTTAGGAGGGGGGTGAGCTCTGTCATTCATTTATTTGTCCAAACCCCAATGGAATTAAGCCATCTGCCAGAAGAGCTACCTGTAATAGTTTCCCAAGTGTCTGGTCTGCCATGGTAAACTGTGCTTTCATCTCTTTATTCTCAACTATCTGCTCCCGTTTCCAAAGCAACCCTCTCCCCGCAGCATCTCGGGATCCGGCATCCAGGTTCAGATCAGCCTTCACCACACTGGCCATGGCTTTATGTTGGGATATGTCACCTCTCTGCATTCCAGGCTGAAGAAGCCCAATGTTTATCACCTGCCCTCCGAAGGCTATCACTTCACTCCCGGCTGCTCAGAAGTTCCCCGGCCTCACTGCATTTCCTTGAAGCAAGAATGAGAGCCACATGCAGTGTGGGAAACATCTGCTGGAAGGCTAAAGGAGACCAAGCAGCAACCTCACAGCTGTCCAGTGCTGAGAAGACAGAGTTTAGAACTCAAGCTCTGCAAAGTTAGAGGGATGGGCAAACAACTTGGTTTTTCTATTGAAATCTCATGGGACTAAGAAAAAAAACTAGCCAAAACCGGTTTGGCTCAGTGGATAGAGCGTCGGCCTGTGGACTGAAGGGTCCCAGGTTCGATTCCGGTCAAGGGCATGTGCCTGGGTTGCGGGCACATCCCCAGTGGGAGGTGTGCAGGAGGCAGCTGATCGATGTTTCTCTCTCATCGATGTTTCTAACTCTCTATCTCTCTCCCTTCCTCTCTGTAAAAAATCAATAAAATATATTAAAAAAAAAAAAACTAAAATAAACCAGATCTAATACAGCTTTAAACCAAGCCCCCACATAGTCGAGATGATCTGCCAACTTAATTGCTTTCCAGAATAAAATTCAATACTCTGCAGAGGAAATAACAGAAGCCAGAGTCTCTACAACTTTATATCCACACTGACCAGCATTCATTAAAAATTATTAGACCTGAGAAGCAGGAAAATGCAACCCATAACCAAAATAAGTCACTGGAAGATGACTAATGGATAATTCAGATGTTAGAATTAGCAGATATGGACTTAAACTATTTACTATATATTTATGTTAAAGAATCTATAGCTCTTGCAGCTCGGCCACCGACATGCCATCCAGACTGAGGAAGACCCGGAAACTCCGGGGCCACGTGAGCCACAGCCACAGCCACATCGGCAAGCACAGGAAGCACCTGGGGCAGGGGTAGGGTGCGGTAATGCTGGTGGCTTGCATCATCACAGGATCAACTTTGACAAATATCACCCAGGTTACTTTAGGAAAGTCGGTATGAGGCTTTACCACTTAAAGAGGAACCAGAGCTTCTGCCCAACTGTCAACCTTGATAAACTGTGGACTCTGGTCAGTGAGCAGACACAGGTAAATGTTGCAAAAGCAAGACTGGAGCTGCTCCTATCACCGATGTGGTAGGATCAGGCTACTACAAAGTTCTGGGGAAGGGAAAGCTCCCAAAGCAGCCTGTCATTGTGAAGGCCAAGTTCTTCAGCAGAGGAGCTGAGGAGAAGATTAAGGGTGCTGGTAGGGCCTGTGTCCTGTTAGCTTGAAGCTACATGGAGGGAAGTTCATTAAAATGTCCACAAGTAAAAAATAAAAATAAAAAGAACCTACAGAAAAGTCTGGATATAATGGGTGACAAGATGATGTATCTTAGAAGAAATATAAAAGAACTAAATGAAAATTCTAAAACTGAAAAATATAAAAATCTGAAATAAACCATTTGTTGGATGGAATTAAAAGCAGATTTAATACTAGGGAAGAAATGAGTGAACTTGAAGATAAATCTCTAAAAATTATTCAAACTGACAAAGGGTACATATCATATGACTCCATTATATAAAATCCTAGAAAGTGTAAACTAATCTGTGGCAACCAAAAGCAAATCCGTGGTCAACTGGGAGGGGTGGGGGAGATGGGGAGGAAGGGCAACTAGAAAGGTTAGAAAGGGTGCAAGAAAATGTCTGAGGGTGATGGATAAGTTTATTATCTTGATTGTGGTGATGGTGTCTATATATGTCAAACTTGTCAAATTGTATATTTAAAAATGTGTATAGTTTACTGAAGGTCAATTATGCTTTAATAAAGCTATTTTTAAAAGAAATGATAATGGAAAATGGCTCTTTAGGGTTTTTAAAAAATCTGTGCTGGAACAGCATGCGCTGCCTTTAGAGATACTATAGGAATCATTCTACTTTGAGTTTAATAAAACTAAAAAAAAAAATCATTTAAAAAAACGAAACCAAGAGGAGGTACTAGCTGGTTTGGCTCAGTGGACAGAGTGTCGGCCTGCAGACTGAAGGGTCACAGGTTTGATTCTAGTCAAGGGCACATGCCTGGGTTGCAGGCTCAATCCCCAGTAGGGGGCATGAAGGAGGCAGCTGGTCAATGATTCTCTTTCATCGTTGATGTTTCTAGCTCTCTCTCCCTCTCCCTTCCTCTCTGAAATAAATAAAAAATATATTTTTAAAAAATTTTTAATAAAATAAATAAAAACAAGAGGAAAAGAAAACTGGTGTGGCCATATTAACATCAGACAAAATAGACTTCAAGACAAGTAGTATTAACAGAGAGAAAGATCATTTCATGATGATAAAATAGTAAAAAAGACAAAAATTCCAAATACATACACATATTCAATAACAGAACTTCAAAATACATGAAGCAAAATTTGACAAACTAAATAGACAAGTCGGGTTGGAGTATAACATTTAGAAAGTCTCCAGAAAGTAGAGTAAAAAGACACAGAGAAAGAAAACTGGAGAAACAAGAAGAAAACCAGAGAACCAGGGCAGGAGGTCCAGTATCTACTGTCTTAACGATTTTTCTGCTGACTGCTCTCAGGTGCCTTCAGGTGGTCGGCCCTACTTCCCAGGACTTATTCTCGCCATGCGCACTGACCGCCCCGAGAGGCTCCTACAGGCACTCAGGGAAGCTGCCATAGGACTGTCAGGAAAATAGTCTTCTCAGATATCCTCTTTAGGAACCGCCATCTGACAAAGCTGCCTTCAAGCCTGCTCATTTTACATTAATTATTTTTCATATTCATTAATATGTAAATAGTTGCTAATAAAAAATATTTGGTTGAGTGAGAAGAATACATAGATTATAACTCAGATGGTTTCTGAGCTTAAAGAATGCTCAACCATCCGGAAGGGAGAAAAAGAAACAGGGAAAGAGCAAGGTTGAGAAGCTCAAAATGAACCCAGTGGGGGACCCAAATCAACTAGAGTGCGACGAATTTTTCCATTTCCATTGCCCTGGGGACTCTGCAGTTCCAGAAGACTTCTCACTCCTTCACTGGGACCCAAAGAGACTGCTCAGGGGGTGCCTAAATCAGTTTGTTTGGGGGATTGGTCTTTACTGCCCTGGGGCGTCTAATACTGATGTCCCAGTGGCTTGCTCAGACATTTGTGCCTGCTCTTTTGATGGATGAGTTGAATCTATTCCAAAGAAGAGTGTTTTTCAGGGACCAAATCCCCTCCTTCTGCTGTTTCTTCCCTTTCGTTTCCCAAGCATCTAAAAAACCTTGGGACCTGGCTTTCAAGTCAAAGGTTCACTTTCTTTCTCAAAGGTTCACCTTCTACGTGTCACTGAGAATGGAAGTACATAGGGATAGACTGGCTTAAAAGGTTTCCTGTAATGACCCTTGCAGGTAAAGAGATACTTTTCGAGGAGGCAGAGCTGGCCCTCAAGCTGAGGACCCTTGCGTGACTACCATGG